AACCTGGCTCACTTGAGTATTGTTCATTCTAATTGTTGGTGAAGCTGTGAGAGTATTCAGTCTCTGCCTCGACCCTATTAGCATGAATTCGGTTTTAGTCATGTTCAACGTGAGTTTGTTCGCTTGTAGCCAGTTGAAGACGTTTTCTAGGTCTTCATTTAGACAAAACTGAACGTTCTCAAGATTGCTTCCCGCATATGTGAGGTGCGTGTCATCGGCATACATTCTCGGTTTACAATTTGATAAGCAATTTGGAAGATCGTTGATATATAATAAGAACAATAATGGACCGAGGATGGTCCCTTGAGGGACGCCGCAAGTCAACGAGTAGCTACTGGATAGCGACCCGTTGACAGAGCATTTTTGTGTTCGGTTTTCCAAATATGGCCTCCAATGATTTTAAACTTCCCGCGAATTTTAACAGAACAAGCAGTGAAGCAAAATACTTCAAAATCTACCTTAATATCGTAATACACATTTACATTTTGAAACGCTCTCTAAAACCTTACGGATATTTCCTGTTAACTTAAAAAGTAAGTCAATGCGCTTTACCTACTAGCACTCAAAGGCAGACTGCTCAATAATGAATTCTAAATAAACAAGACTTTGATCTGCCTTCACGTTGAGACTGACTATCCAGCTTTTATGGACGTCTTAGAGAATAGACAATCGCTGAGATACAGTAGAGAACAGAGGGATAATTCAACAGAAACTTTCAAATAAAAATAAAAAAAAAAAAACACGTCGGACGAATTCAGATCTAGAAGCGATCGCTTCGCCATTAGTATTGCATGGAATACTGGGAGGCAAATCGTCACCCTCTTTGGGGGAGGATGAACAATTGAGAACTAAATTTTATTTTTATACTAATCATAGGTAAATGGAAATCTCATTCACCTTTTGTATTAATTTTTTTGGTTATAAAAAATATTAGTTAAACTGTACTACAGATTGTGACATGACAAGCGCTCGGAAGAGCGTCTATATTGTAAAAGTTACGCGGTATCTTCCTCCCAACTCATGACAACCATTCATTGCGAAACAATCCACAAGTCGCTCAAAAGGTCTTTTAAAAAGGCAAGATGGGCGGCCATTTTGAACGATACATGTCATTACGCAATTACCACAATTGCAAGCATGCCCAACGATCAACTATGGAGCTAAGTATTTCTTGAAATAAGTGATGATAGGTAACATTATTTGAGACGAGATCTCTAAACATGACCGAAAAAATACGAAGATGGTAAGTTCGAAAGCCATTTTAACACTGCTTTTCGACCTTTTGCGAGAGATTGGTTTATCTTATCGCACCAGAAAGAATTAGCTGAGAGCAGAGTTAGTAATTGTATTGTCATCGGTGTTACGTATGATCGCGCTCTTTTTACCCTGTGTCTGCAGTTGGACATTTGTGTAACGTAAAATATTTTCAACGACGGCGTACCCGAGGCCATGTAGTAATTCATTCGAATAAACCACTTCGAAGATGTAAAGTTTTTCAATGCATTCATTTAATTATAGAAATAAGCAACTTAACTAACTGAAATTAACAAGCAAACCGCCATATTGCTTGATTAGTCATGCCTTGTTAAGTCGGTAAATCTTTCGGAGTTTGGTAAGAATCCGCAGTCGAGAAGAAATAAAAGTATGGGAACCTTTAAATATCAATTTGTAGTAAGTCGAAAATGCAAGGGAGTTGTCACGAAACAAAGCTCCTC